TCTGAGACTCCCTTGGGTAGTGAAGGGCGGGGTATAAATCCAATCTCTTTTCTTCTCTCTATTAAATCCTAATAAAATCTTAATATAAAAATTCATAACACCAGGAAAAATATAATTTAATCTGAATTAAAAATAATCATCATGTATTCCCATCCATGCGACACAAGGTTATGGCAGTTGGCTCCCGCTGTCCTGTTAACTAGGGGTCTGCATCCGGTGTTTTGGCCAGTTCCCGTGTCTCCTGGTTGCAGCAGCAGTACAAGGTGGCTCCGCCCCCTCCTGGGCCCCCACTGCTGCCGGCCAGATCCAAGCGAAGCCCTGCGGGGGGCCAGGAGGGGATTCCGGTTGCCTTCCACCCGAGTGATGGGGTGCAGCGAGCCGAACCCCTGCGCACGTCGGCAGCCTCTCTTCTGTGCAGGCCGAGAGGGGGGCTGATAGCCCAACCTGGGCTTCTTCCCTTGGAAGTGAGTCCCATGGCATTCCATCGGCCTTACCCCCTTGTCACTGCCGCGGGTCCTGCATTGCCGCGGGTCCTGCATTGCCACACTTTCTCAGGAGGGAAGAGAAACCCCTGCTGCATTTCAGCTGCCGCTTCTCCCTCCCCTGTTCGGTCCTTGGCCCTCGTGGCCACCCCAGTGAAGAGGCTGTTTGCCTGGAGAGAAGAAGAAGAAGAGATTGGATTTATACCCTGCCCTTCACACCCAAAGGTTTCTCAGAGCGGCTGACAAACTCCTTTCCCTTCCCCTCCCCACAACAGACACCCTGTGAGGTAGGTGGGGCTGAGAGAGCTCGGACAGAAACGGCTCTTTTTCAAGGACAGCTCTTATCAGAACTACGGCTTGCCCAAGGCCATCCAGCCAGGTGCAAGTGGAGGAGGAGTGGGGAATCAAACCCGGTCCTCCCAGATTAGAGGATGCCGCTGCTGACTGGGCTGGTCGATGCGGCTCCTCTCTTCCCCTGCCAGAGGGAGACTGAGAAGGGCACCGCTGGGCTTCCCTTTTGCGTAACCGAGCCTAGGACCGGGCTGGGACCGTGGTTCCAGTTCCTCCCTCCCAGACTGATCCGTGTAGTGTCTGTGGGAGGCCTGGGGTCATGTGGTGCACGAGGCTCCATGTGAGCCACGCAGTTCAGGGCTCCCCCCTCTCGCAAGGGGGAGAGCACAGCCAGCGTTTATCAGACGAAGGCCGGGGCTCCGATCCCAGGCCCAGCAGAGCAGGCTTCCTCTGTTCCTCATCGCTGCTGTCCTCCAGGAGGCGCCAGAGGGCACAGGGTAGTTGATTCCTGGCTCTCTCTCTCTCTCTTCTGCCGCCTCCCCTCCCAGGTCCTTTCACCAGCGCCTTGTCCGCTGACGCCGCCTTGGAGCAGATCAACGCCATGCGGCAGCTGCTGGCCTCCCTGAAGGAGGAGGAGAACACCCTCCGCTCCAACCTGGGGATCTTCAAAATCGACCAGCCCGCCTCCAAAGACCTCCAGAAGCTGGAGAGGGTAGGGCGGCGGTCCCTTGTCTTCCCGCTCGCCTGAGCCCCGGGCTGGACGGGAGGAACCGAACTCTGGACACGGTGAGCGGAGGTGACCCGCCCGCCCCCTCCCTTGCTTTGCAGGAGCTGGACTACATCCAGCAGGTTTGGGAGATCACCAAGGAGTGGGAGGTGCACTGGAACGAGTGGAAGACGGGCAGCTTCAAGACCCTGCAGACGGAGGTGATGGAGACCACGGCCTTCATGCTGTACCGGAAGCTGAACAAGCTCAGCAAGGAGCTGAAGGTGAGGCCGAGTGGGGCTGAGGGGAGCAGGGGGGTGGTGGCCTGCCTGCATCGTTCACCACAACGGTCCTGCAGGGGAGGTCAGGCTGAGGAAGAGAGAAGAGGCCAAGGGGCTCCCGTGGCTGAGTAGGGTTTTCCAGTAGGGCTGGCATCAAAGGGGTCTGAATCTGAATCCAGTAGGGTTGCCAACCCCCAGGGGAGGCCTGGAGTTCCGGAATTACAACTGATCTTCTGACAACAAGAGTTCAGTTTCCCCGGAGGAAAGGGCGGCTTTGGAGGACAGACTCCACAGGAAGCCATAGAATGCAGGACAAACGGAAGTCCTAGAGCCAGGGGTCATTTCGTAGAAAAAGAGGTGCAGGAACTCATTAGCATTGCTTATTTGCATATGCCACACACCCCGACAAAGGGCAGGCATGCAAGCATGCCCGGGTTCCCTGCCCGATCTTCTCCAGGTGCCCCGCAGCCGCGGGGCACCTGGAGAAGAATGGGCAGGGAACCCAGGCATGTTTAAAATGCCTTTCTTTCCCTTCCCCATCTGGAGAAGGGAAAGAAAGGCATTTAAATCCCCCCACACCTCCCCAAGTTTGTCCACAAAAGCGGAGTCGCTCAGGGAAAAAGGGGACATGTCTGGCTGGGAAGCAAAGGGCAGGCAGGCAAGCATGCCTGGGTTCCCTACTCCTGGGCTTGTTACTCCCGGAACGCCGTTCCTGCCCGTTCCCCCTCGAAATGACCCCAGCCTAGAGGGACACTGCATCCGCACTGAGCTCCCTTCACCGCCACACCGCCCCCTCCCCGGGCACTGGTCCTAACTTTCCAGGGATTTCCCACGCCAGAGGTGGCAGCCCTGTTTCCCAGCGAGATGACTCCCATATCGGTCCAGCACTCTAACCATGATACTGCTGCAGGGCTGGGAAGACCGGAAGGTACCAGACCAAGGTTGCACAGGGATTGTTTCTGGGCTGAGCAGAAACCCTGTTGAGCAGACGGGAAGGGCCACTCTGCAGTGTTCAGTAGAAGAGACCAGGAGCGAGAGAGAGACAGAGACAGAGAGAGAGAGAGACAGAGACAGAGAGAGAGAGAGAGAGAGAG